GAATACTGCTTATCTTAGTTCCCCAGACTGTGGGCGAGGGAGCCAGACTGACTCCGTTTACCCTACAGGTGGGAATATGATAGACTAGAATTGATCACCGCTAAGATCAGGTGATGTCTGCTTCCTATAGATACTTCATTTGTAATATCATGAGGTAAATGTGGATATAAATTTATGTTTATTATATCTTATATCTTCCGGAAAAATTCCTAGAAGAAAAATTTGTGTCAATGGATACAACATTGTTTTTAGTTTCAAATACAAGTTTGGTCGTGACTATTTTTGTTGTAGTTTTTGAGAATTTCACATCAAAATTCTAATGATTCTTATAAGTAATAAGTAAGTAGCATAAATTATCCTAGCTTAATACTTATACAGAATGAAAATCATTTCTTTCATAGAAATTTGAAATCTTCATGCATGTAAATAATTGAGCCAAGCATGGTTTAGAGTTATTTTTCCATCAAATTTTTTTATTCAGCTATTTTTATTTTAATTTAATTTTGGCAATTTATATTTTGACATAAACTTTTTAGCATAATTATACATTGGAATATCTAATATTATCAGCTTCTCAATTTCCTCGTATTCCTGTTGGCATTTTTATGTTTGTATATCTGTGTTCTCTTTCTTAATTTTTTAAAATTATGATTCCAGAAGACTATCTACCTCATGCTCTCTGTAAAAATGAATGTGGCCTTCTTAATTGTAGCACCTTTCTCTTAATATGAATTGTAGTCAATGTAATATTGTATTAAGTATTCATTCAAAATGTAAGTATTGGGCACTGCATATGTGCTGGAAAAGAAAATCTTTCTTTTTTAAAAAAGATCACTTACATTTAATATTTACAACTATAGTAATGTAATCAGTAGCATATTAGATTAATATAGCTTATTTTATTAAATTTGAAATATGAATTAAGAAAGAGTAGGAAAACCAAAATAAAAGGTATAAATTTTTTTAAATATTTTATTTATTTATTTTTAGAGACAGGGGAAGGGAAGGAGAAAGAGTGTGAGAGAAACATCAGTGTGTGGTTGCCTCTCATATGTCCCCTACTAGGGACCTGGCTTGCAACCCAGGCATGTGCCCTGACTGGGTATCGAACCGGCAACCCTTTGCTTTACAGGCCCATGCTCAGTCCACTGAGCTACATCAGCCAGGGTGGTATAGAATTTTTTAATCCTCAAAATTTAATTATAGAGCTTCTTAGATTCTGATATTTATGCAGACAAGTTCTCATAAAATATATCTTTACCCTTATCAATTTTAAAATAGTCTAATTAACTATTTTAAATTAAAATTAATTAATTAATTAATAAAAACTAAAGACAAAAATAAATAAATGTTAGTTTTCATACTTTCTCCCACTTTCTGTTATATTTTCTCAAATATAAATTGTACACCATGTTTTGATGTTTGGAAGGTGCTAAGCTGATAATTCTGACTTTATTGCTTACATTGAATAAATTATTTTAATCTACTGTTATTTTAAATAATTCTTTCTTAACTCATCTGACTCCATTCAAAATTTTGTTAGCCACTAAATCACCCCTTTTTAAGTATTATTTTATTATATTATTGTCTATATTGTATTTTATAAAAATCACATCTGTATAACTCATTGGGTCAAATATTGATGTTATTTAAAATGTTTCTCTTTCTCTAGGTATTTTTCCCACATAAATGTCTCAGTTTTACTATTGTAAATGAAAATTACAAAGGAAAAATTTTGTAATAGAACTTCTTAAAGGATCCATGTTGTTCTATAATTTGCTTTTTTTCCCCCCTTTGTTTTTGTTTTTCTGGTTTAAATTCTTCAGTGGCAAGAATTCTATTTAAGCCTTCTCTTTACCTCACTGCAGTTGAATTGATAGGATGCCATTTGTCTTATGGATGTATTTCAGGAGCTTATTTTAGATTTCTTTTTTTTTTTTTAATTTATTTAGTTATTTTTCAAGTACAGTTTTTTGTCTATTTTTCCCATCCCAGCCTCCCCTGCCCCTTGCTCCCCACCTCCCTTCCATTTCCTCCCCCCCCTTAGTTCTCGTCCCTGTGTCCTTCCTATTTGTTCCTCCAAATCCCTCCCCCCTTTTTCCCCTTAACTTCCCTTCCTTCTCCCCCTCTTGTCACTATCCCCTTGTTCTCTATTTCAGTGTCTTTGTTTTTTGGGGTTTTTTTTTCTGCTTACTTGTTTGTTTTGTTGTTTAGCTTCCTGTTAAAGGTGAGATCATATGGTATTTGTCTTTCAGCACCTGGCCTATTTCACTCAGCATAATGCTTTCCAGTTCCATCCATGTTGTTGCAAAGGGTAGTAGCTCCTTCTTTCTCTCTGCAGCATAGAATTCCATTGTGTATATTTTAGATTTCAAGCTATGAGTAGGACTGGATGCCTGGAGGGTTGATAGCCTATGACTCAACAGGAAGATTTTGTAACTATAGTTTCCTCCATAGTTTAAACTTTGGGTTAAACCTTCCTGGGCCAGGTGTCACAGATGGTGTTTTGGGGCTTCCTCCTTAGTGTGTAGAGAAAATGCTAATACTTTGGCCCAAGTTTTTATGACCAGAAAACTATGCTCCGTTTAGAAACATCCTTCTCAGAATTGTTGCTGCCTAATCTCATCCAATAACCTGTTGATCTGATGTCCTCAATGACTGAATATTAGCTGTTCATTTCATTCATAGCTCTGCCCTCCCCCATCTTTGGAAACTGGAATCCAGAATAATATAAACCCAAGTTCCATGCATGTCCTTAGTTAGTCTAGGCCAATTCGATTCATTCCTACTCAAAAGGAACACCGAGGTATGGGAACCACAACTCACCGGTGTTTGACATTCTAGTGCTTCCTTCTTCCCGCCATTCTTACCACAAGAAAGAAAGGATAGGAATGCACCTTTTATAAGAGAGTGGTGTTTGGAATGATTCCAGATCACTGGTTAGGCCCTCAGAATGGGACAAGTTAGGCAAACATATCTTAACAGGTTTCATCAATGGAGTATCTAGAGTACAATACATGTAAAGTCAGAATGTATTTAACTTTAATACCAGCTATAAAACTAGTGATGTGACCAAAGCAACTAACTTCTCAGAACATGTTTCTTCATTTATAAGATAGTGGTAATGATATATTTTACATGGTGTTTATAAGGATTGAATGAAACAATTAATAAATTGTGTAAACTTAATCTAGTGGCTGGCATATAATAGGTGTTGAAAACAATGAATGTTATTACTGATATAAATGAAGTAATGATTTAATTCTATAAGATGGAAGTTCAAAGTTGGGCCTTGAATATCAGGAAAGGTCATTTGCAAAAATGTTTTACTGATACTATTCAGTTGAACTATATTAAGATGACCTTTGTTTTTTTCTTTTTATAAAATTATCTCTTTGTTTTTATGAGACATTTAAAGTAAGAAATATATAGTATCATTAATTTTATTACTAAGTCAGCTTGTAACAATGTAGTCTTAACAAATATAAGTTTTGCTCCTTATTCTCTAGTGTTTACTTTAGAGCTCCCTTAGTTTGGACCTCCATTTGATTACTAAATGTGATTTAAAGTACCGGAATATTTTTTCACAAATTAATGAGAGTGAGGGCAAAAGAAGTCATGACAGTGGCATGTGTTCTTCAGCACCTTATTGACTGCAGCTAATGAACAGAAATCCAATTCGTTTCTGCTCTATCAGTCTAGGAACTCCTGGGACACTTGCCTGGGCCCCACTGCTTGTGGTGAGTCTCCACAGGCATCTTTCCAACTGGAGCCAGTGTTGTCGCTGGGCTGGCCATTGTGGTTCTTATGATTGGGAGAAGCACAGCAACGGCCACAAGGGAACTTGAAAATGGGAGGATTCTTACTCACGGGCCCTGGGAAATAAATAGCAGCTCCAAGGGTCAGGCAGCTAGGTACAGGGAGAGAGAAAGAGAGTGAGAGAGCGCAGACCTGGGGCTCTGCCTTTATTAGAGTTGAGGGTGATATACATAAGGTTTTGAAAGTTTACTCTTTTTTTCACACTTTATTTTATTTTTTAATATATTTTATTGATTATGTTATTACAGTTGTCCCATTTTCCCCCTTCATTCCTTTCTACCCTGCACACCCTCTTCCTCCCACATTCCCCCCCTTTAGTTCATGTCCATGTGTCTTAAGTTCTTTATTACTGAATTTAAAACATAAGGGCAGAATTAGGGAGTGGGAAGAAAATAGCAGAGTCATTCAAGTGATCTGTTATCCAGGCTGTCCAAGGCTTTCTAAAAGGGACACATCATGGGTAGGGGAGGCCTGGGTGCTTATCTCCCTGTATAGCTAGTAGTTCTCATAGACCTTTCTCTATGTGTTTTTGATCAAAATGGATGTCTTTGAAATGGATGCCTCAGTAATCAAAAGCCTAAAGTCAGGCACTTACATTACAATAAAAAAAAAAAACAACTTATGATCAGGAACATACACTACAAGAGGGATTTATTTAAAAAATGTAAAATTGACAATAAACAAAACTCCGCAGTAGGCCTAAACATGGCCATACTGTTGTGTTCCACTGTTACTCATCACACTGTCTAAAGTTCCAACGGGCCATCAGTTTCCGGTAGTGTGTCATCTGTAGCCAAGAGCTCCAATAAAGATTAAAAGTCTCATTCATCATCTTTTTCTTTATATTCAATAATGGTTTCCTTTATTTCAGAAGTTTCCTATAACCTATATTTTATTGTTACTATCCAGTTAGACCAAAGTTGATCTATGTTCTCAAAAGACAATATGAACACCATCAATGAAAACGTATTTCACTCTAATTCCCCTTAAATAGACAAATCTTTTCTCCCTTGCTAAGAGCACAAGTATGCACGGACAAAATTAATGGTTGAATATATCATGTAATAATATATGTTGAACGTAATTCAAACAAAGCATCATTATTTTTCGCAAATCGTTAATGGACCTTAGTTAAAATATTTAATTTGCAACTTCTCTTATTTACACTGATGTATTTACAGTTGTATGCCAAGATTTACTGGAAAGAACAGTGAGAAAGTAATTGACCACTGTAGACTGCTCAGCATCAACTGTCTGAATGAAGAATGGTGTTTCAATATAATTGGAAGATTCAGAGTAAGTAATTTAATACATGGCAAAGTAATTTAGCATGTCAGAACACAAGAGCTTCAGGCACTCTGTACTTTGAATGCTTATATCATTCTAAGCCAGAGAAATATATCCTTATATGGATATTATAAACATCCTGTATATGTAATTTAGTAATAGAGATCTTTAACTAATTAGAATTATGTTGAGAGAGTATTAATACATGTTCTAGGCAGTGTTATATTTCATAATATGAATATAGCTAATTGAGTACTGGTGATATATTTCTTTTTATGTAAGACCACAGTAACTATGCCTTAAGCTCTTAAACTAGATGGGGCATAAAATTAGTATGGTAGTTGTTAGTCAGAATATAAAAATATACTTTTTTAGCTGGATAGTTTTTAAAATAATCTGTCAAATATGGTGTGTGTACTACACACAGTCCAGCATGTCCGACAACTTAGAGATTCCATTTTTAGATATGTCTATTGGAGAAATTATCATTTATGATTATGACCTTATAATTTATGGTTATGACCTTATTTGACCTGCACATAAATCCCATTCCATTTTACAGAAAAATAAAATAATCACCGAGCTTTTGAAATATTTCCTCCAGCTTACACACATCAATAGCAATAAATAAGCCTAGATTTAAACTTGTTCTGTATGACCCCAGAATACATACTTTCAAAGTACTACACATATCTATTTGCAATAAAAAGTATATGCCACCATTTTTCCATTTAAATTTTATCTATCCTTAATATGAAATGTTCTAATTGAAATGTCTCTTATAACTTTGGTTTCAAATTATTTTATGTTATCTTGTTTATGTTTTTGTTTTTAGTTCTCTTCCATTTCAGGATGGTCTCTGAGTGTTTACCTTTGATTTTATTTTCAAGTTTTTATTCTTCTATCACACTTTTCCCCGGGAGATATCAACCACTGCCTCAACAATGTATGGACCCTATAACCCATTTGACTTTCCATTTTAAGGAGTATGGCTGGAGCTTTCATCACATTGCAGACTTTTTAAAAAATTATAATTTAAGTTTGCTAACTCCTGTGGATTAAATATTAGTGAAAAAGGACTGTTATCAGACTTCTCATTTGGTTATAATTTAGGGGATCATAATGATAATGTACATTAATAAATGTTTTAACTTATAATATTTCATCAAAAGTATGTTTTTCCTATTAATTCATCATCACAATTTACCTGTATTGAGTTATACATACAGTTTATATTAAAGTGTTTGCATATTTTAAAATATGTTTTTCAAATTATATGATGGTTGTACATGACAGAAATTATTATTCTTCATGATACTTAAGTAATGTAACATATTAAATAAAATAAAATGTTGTATAATGAATTTATTTTAACATGTAAATATAACATGAATTTATATAGGTTATAATATTTTTAGAATTCTATAACTAATATTTGCTTTTCTAAGTTGATATTTATATTATTAACTTTTGAATATGTCAACTGATTTCAAAGAGACTATTTGATGAGCTATAATATTTTAGGAGGTGGTGTAAACTACTCATTCTCCCATTTAGATAAATATATTTTACACTTAGAGAAAAACAAAATAGAGGGGGCATAAAACAAGCAAATAGTAATATGATGCACTTAAATCCAGCTATATCCAAGATCACAGTAAATATAAATTGATTACACATATAAGTTAAAAGACAGAGACTGTTAATGGCACATAAAGAAAGACTTAATCAAATATTTTTTTTTAAAAGAGATTCATTTTTGCCGTGACTGGTGTGCCTCAGTTGGTTGGGCATTGTCTGGCAAAATGAAGGGTGGCCAGTTCGATTCCCAGTCAGGGCGCCTGGGTTGCAGACTTGGTCCTTGATAGGAGCATGTAGGAGATGCAGCTGATTGATGTTTCTCTCTCACTTTCATGTTTCTCTGTCTCTCTTTTTCCCTTCCTTTTCCTCTCTCTATAAGTATATAAAATATTTTTTTAAAGATTTTATTTATTTATCTTTAGAGGGGAAGGGAAGGAGAGAGGGAGAGAAATATCAATGTATGGTTGCTTCTCATGTGGCCCCTGCTGGGAATTGGCCCCTGCTAGGAATTGGCCTGCAACCCAGGCATGTGCCCTAACTGGGAATTGAACCAAGATCCTTTGGTTCGCAGGCCTGTACTCAATCCACTGAGCTACACCTTCCAGGGCAAATATTTTTAAAAAATAGACTCACGTCATATAAGAAGATACAGATATAATGAAAGTAAAATCATGGGAAAGATATCACATAAAAATTAAGTGAAATGAACACCAGTGTAGCTTTATTAATAAGGAAGACTTCAACATAAGGAAATAACAAGGAGGAATAACTTTATTTCATAAACATAACGGGATCAACTGATAAGATGAAATGATACATTTAATAGCAGAACTGTACAATACATATAACACAAACTGACATCCATCACTATAATCATTCAGGGCTTTCTGATTTTTAATTGACATAACATGCCCTTAATATATTCACAATAACTTTATGGAAGCAGTAAAATATATGAATTTTGTGACCTGGGCACAAATTAATATACAAAGGAACAGAGAAGCAGAGCACCAGAGACAGTCATGGGGAAGAAGGGCTCCAGAAATCCCAGAGAAGCTCTGAGTTGAAGTCAGAGCTAACTTAACCCCAAGGTTAATCAGAGTTTGGTGGCCTTTGGGGCCTGTGTTTATACAGGTTAAAATGAAGCAAATCAACAATCTGACCGTTGTTTCCTCCTCTTAATAAGATTAGACTAAAATTATAATCAGAAGAATATTTTTAAATGTATGTTTAATTGAAATAATATGAAAATAAAACATGCTCTATAATGACTTTAAGGTTAAGAGTATACAGTAAATATAACAGGCTAGACAACATTAGCAGCTAAAAGAAAACCCTGAAGGTCAAAACCTTATTAATTCTAAGCCATGCTTTTCATTATGAGTTAAATTTCTCTATTTTCAATTCATTTTCTTTATAATAAAAGTGGCATAAGAATGGTGAACTTTCTCATTGAAATTGTGATGAGGAATTTCTAATCAACACTTTACAATGTCAATTGCATTCTCAACATTAATAATGTAAATGGTGCCCATGATAAAACAATTGTCAGCTCCCAAATGAGAGTCAGATTTCTAGTAACCAGCATGTAAGAATAAATCATTAAAGAAATTAAGAGCTCATGGCATAAAAAGGCAAAAGGTTCTTAGTGTCATTTCATATTTATAAAAATGAATAAATGACAGCCACTAAAATAAAGAACACAATTGATGTTATGCACATAATAAAGTAAAAAAGCAAATATTATGCATTTAAGAACTATTCACATCACCTCAGCAGGGATTCAAGATTTCTTTTCCTTAGAGTTTTAATGATTTACTAATATTTCGATTTTATTTTTAATGGATAATACACATAGTTGGAGCCACAATATATGGTTTGTGTCAATCCAAATATTTTATAAGTTCCTGATGTTATTATGACTTAGAATTGTTGACTGCTTCTCTTTATTATCATCAAAGAAAATGCAATGGGAGCTTTATATACAACTCTTTTGGTTCTCTTCCTTTTCAACTGGTTCAGGGACACAGATAAAGAATGAAGTTTTTGTTTTATCTCATCTTTTAAAGTCTTCATAGGGGAATCAGCAGGGAAAAAAACCTTGAAAATCCGTCTAGTTTAACTTTGCCATCTGTTTTATTTCTCTCTTCTATTTCCATCCTCTAGTTAATTTTTTAACAATTATTTTCAACAAGCGTGACTTATATGCAAACTCACGCTAAAAGAAGTAAGCTCAAATGAGTATTCCATATGAGTGAAATTTGCATTTGGGATAGGATTTAGAGTTTTATCTGAAACACCAGTAAATCTCAACAGAATCTCTCTGTTTCTGTCTCTTACACACACACACAATTTACATAATTAGACCTTCCAGGGGCTAGATAGACCAGGTAACCATCTAACCTCAGACTCGATTCAATTACATACCTTCTAGGTCACCCTAAAACAGCAACAGTGCGCTCTTGGACAGTCCTAGAGGAATCCTAGCATGCTCCTGCCTCATAGCCTTTGTCTTGAATATGTTGACATCTATTGCCATCCTGCTTTCCAGATAACAATATAAGTAGTTCTTCATGTATTTTTTATTGCCTATGAGACTATCTTATGCCAAAATTCAAGTTCTATGAAGGTAGATACATTTGTTTCTTTGTACAGTAATAACCTTTTAGAGAAGTCCACAAAATTCCAGCAATGACAAGTTATGCCAGATATAGTGGATGAGAACCTATTTGGAAGGATACTTCTATGTACAACAAGCACAGACTCCAAAAACTGACCACCAGGTGACCTCTCTCTTAGTAATGAGGTAGTTGGAGCTAGCTTAACATGGAATTTGGAGGAGGTGTGTTTGGTGAAAAGTACAAAGAATTATGCACAAATTACCCATCAGTAATGTGTTTTATGTAAAAAAAAAAAATACAAAAGTTAACAAACCAAAAAGGGGGATTGGATTAACTTAGTATGTTATGAACACAGAAAATACTAGTTTACACATATACACAAAATTTAAAAAAATATATACTACGATCTGCTACCAAAGCCTAAATTTAACAGAAAAGCAGAAACTATCTCCTATTGGTGCAAGAAATACTTTCTAAGCTCCCCCTTCTAATTGTACCCTCAACCAGAAAAACACACTGATATTTCCATTTTTTATCAATCCTCAGAAACACTTTCTTCAGGGTGAAGAAATGGCTGGGCAGTGCCATAGTCTGTGCTCAGTTACACAGACATCTCTGAAAAAAAAGAATTGTTCAAGTCAAGTATAAGATCACTGGAGCAACCAGGTGTGATTGCGCTTCCTAGCGGATCCTTAGCAATGTCCAGAGACATGTCTGGTTACAAATTAGGGTTGGTTTTGCAAGTGGCACCTAGTGGATATGAGGCTCAGTCTGCTTCTAAGTATTCTACAATAACACAACAGCCTC